GATAAACAAAGCGAACCGCGGTGATCTGACACCAGAAGAATTGAAGGAGAGACAAGCAAAGGCAATGCAAGATCCAGAAGTCCAGAACATATTGTCGGATCCAGTAATGAGACAGGTAAAATCAGTGGCAACAATTGTGTTCTTAAGTTGTGTCTGAGACTTGTGTGATGATGTTGTTTTGATGAATTTTTGCAGGTATTGGTGGATTTTCAAGAGAATCCGAAAGCTGCACAGGAACACATGAAGAATCCAATGGTAATGAACAAGATTCAGAAGCTGGTTAGTGCTGGTATTGTTCAGGTCCGGTAAATTGGCTATGCTGAATCGGAGTCGTCGAATCAAACCAAAGATGTTTTCAAATTTTCACTGCGTTGTTTTGGACTTTTGTTATTAAACAGAAACTCTGTTTTGGTTTGGGACATGTTTGATGAGTTATTGTAGAATGAATCAAGTCTGTGTTCTCTCTTTAGTTTTCTCCTGATTTTATCTGCTAATTCTAAAAACTATTTCAAAAGAAGATTTATAATTTTAAAGTGAAAAGCTGTAAAATCTTGTTTTTCTACTTGTTCCTTTTACAGAGGAATAAGGTGTGTCTTTAGAAAGTCTTTTGGGGCAGGCCTCACGTGCATTGCACGTTATGGTGATTAAAATATCGTGCAATAATCAGTTTGTGTTGAATTTTCTTTTCACTTTTCCTTAATTTGAGAAGATGGCGTCTTCTCTATAGTGGAATCTATTGTGATGTGTCATTTAGTGAGACACATATATTGACATTAATGGATAAAAAAGAGACATTATAGGTTACTAAAAATGCTTTCTAGAAGAACAAAAAAGAATTTGGGAATTTGTTTTTAGTCAAATGGTTGAATCCATTTTTTCCATCGGACTTCGGCTCCATTAACTCGCGTTACCTCTTCGTGTAGTAGGGATTGACTATAGATCGGTCCAAAGATGTAAAAAAAAAAAGAGAACGGAAAAGAATTTGATGTACTAAACAATCTTAAACAGGAATACTAGCTAGCATATAACTGCATGTTTTGTTATTGTAGCAAAAAAGCTAAAAAAATTTATTTCCATAATTGTACCTAATTTGTTTCCATGATCACTCTTCACAGTTCCTTCTTCGATTTGTCTTTCCCAAAAGCTAACAATTGAAAAAGCACCTAGTGTTAACAAAAGGTGATAAGATTTGCCCACCTGTTCCCAAACTACCAAAGTAAATGGAGCTTATGTGGAAAGAGGTAACACAAATTCATAATAAAATTATTTAAATCGTAAAGTAAAGTAGCTCTTACTCTAGTGGGTTTATTGAAAGAGAACAAAAACACTAGTTAAGAGATCTTTAGTTCCGAGTCTATTTGGAAAAAATGATATTCTCAAAGAGAATAGATTTAAAGCTGATGACTTTGGATTCGTTAAGATTAGGAAAAAAAGGATTATTCAAATCTTAAAAATACTCTTTTTTTGTAAGGTGTGTATTTTGTATGCGAAGAAAAAGTGTATAAGTGTGAAAAAAAAAAGGATATAACTCATTTGGTTTTAGAAAACATCATTGGTTATTCGAGTGTTTCGAAATGGTAAAGATTATTATTGTGTGAACAATTTTCAATAATTTATAATGCTTGGCATATACGTTCATTTGAAGTATCTCCGAGACCGATGCAATTAGGTTTATCCTATAATCTGATAGACTCTGCGTAGGTCCAAAAGTATATTTGAACAACTCAATCTAACACTCCGACTTCAATTATTGACTCAAAGGTGAAAAAAATAATAATATAAAAGGATTCGCCTGAATCCATAATTCATCGGGTGTATTAGGCCTGGACAAAATAACCGAACCACGACAACCGAATCGGAACCGAAGCAAAAAGAACCGAACTGGAATCGAACCGAAATTTTAAAATACTCAAATGGATCCGAAATTTCAGAACCGAAAGAACCGGAACATAAACCAAAATATTTTGGGTACCCGAAAATACCCGAAATATGAGTTTATATATAAAAATATTAGTTATTTTTAGATCGAATAACCAAAAATACCCGAAATGCCAACAATATTTGGAAAATATATTAAAAAATACTTACAATATCCAAAAAATACTCGACAATATTCGAAAATACCCAAAAATATCCAAAATACCTAAAAATATCCGAAAGAAAATATCTGAATGGATCCTAAACTTCAGAACCGAAAGAACCGGAATCAGAACCGGAACCGAACCGAAATTGATTGGTTCCTATATGGATCCTAAACTCTAGAACCGAAAGAACCGGAACCGAACAAGAACCGAACGGGTATCCGTACGTCCAGGCCTAGAGTGTATAGTCGGAGCCGGTCCGAAGATTACGGAGATAATATTAAAATTTTTGTTTTCTTTTTTCATTTTTATAAAAAAGTTAAATGATATTTCTCTATAAACTAAGGAGGGGGTATTCAACAATTGAATATAGAAGAAATATTGCTATATCAAATGTTTTGCAAAGGTATTTCAAATTATTTTTATATAACGAACTAATGATAATTGTTTTCTGTCAACAACTCTATTGATATGTTATAATTGTTTTGTAATTTAAAATAAGGAAATGAAAGCAATTAGAAAAATAAATTAATAAATAATTAAATCAGGGAAACATAAGTGGAAAACCAAACTTTTTGACAAAAAGAGATTCAGAAATCACATATTCAAATTTATTAAAACTAAATAAATGATTACTAATTAGTAATTACATTAAAATATCAGATATTCCAAAAATAATAATTCACTCAACGGTAAGCTAAGTGACTTGTGCCTAGTTACATTAATATTAAATTTTTTTTTTTAAATTGTGTGATATTAAATATGAAAAATAAAATATATAAAAAATAAAATAATATTAAAATGTAGGAGCACATCCAAATTTTGTGGCCAATTCTTTTTTTTCCATAAACCAATAAACATCATCGTTATCCCTAACTCGAAACAATGACAAAATCATAAACATTACAAGCCAACACATAAATACAAGGTATCATAACGAAACAAACGATCCACTAGGAAAACAAAAAAAAAAAAAAAACATGACAAAACCTAATTAATTAGGACCGAATTTTAATTTATTACCCGAAACTATGACTTATGCCGAGCCGCGAACCGGTTTACAAGAGCCAAAGCATTACTAGTAACTCGAGCCACATGAACCACTCGTCTTCTTATCGCCGATTTCACCACACCGTCCATAACCTTTCCATCGAACCCATCAAGACACGTTGTCTCATCCGTTAAAGCAGCACTAACCCAAGTCTCAACGTTACTTAGCCTCCACAAGAACTCGTCTCGATCACGACCGGATCCACCAACTTGCCTCAACTCCCTCATCGACTGAGCCAACATCTCTAAACCGTCTCCAAGATTCTCAACACAATCCTTTACGGCTAAGTACTCTCTCCGTTTGATTCTCCTAGCTTTAGTCAGCTTCGCTACGTAGACCGTCGTGGACTGGACCCGGACTAGAGTAACGGCTAAAGCGGTTTGAGTTAACCGGTTTTCGTTGCGGCGGATTTTGTTGGCGAAAGTGGCGAGGCATTTGACGCAGAGAGTTTGGTAACGCGTGACACGGCATGATGAGACAATGAAGTTGATGCTGTTATTGCTAGGGTTTGGTGATGATGAAGGTTTGGCTATGGTGGATTGGGAGAGTAGTGGAAGAAAAAGTAGAAGGCAATAGCAAAGATGGGTTAGCTTTGGTTCCATTGGTGTGTGTGGGGTTATTTGTTCTATTTTGTGGTGCGTTTCAATTAAAAGGCATGTGTGTATACACGAGTGTGGTGTTGTTATTTATAGGAGAGCTTCATTTTTTTTTATAACATCATTCATTGATATTAAATCTAATACAAAAGTTTGTATATCCAAATTACAAACATAAACTTATACAAACACAAACAAAAGCACTACTAACTACTTTGAAGATTTTTTTTTTTTTTTTTCATCTTTTTTTCATCAACTACTTTGAAGATTAAAAGTGAATATACACCATGCCTTAGAAACCGAAGCTTTAGTTGCTAACGGATTAAAAATGTCTTATTTTCTTTATATATACAATGGTAATTAATTTATATTAGGTGATCCCTTGTGGTTTATCTGATTTTTTTCATTTGTCTCTCTGTTTGTTTTCTTTATATATTTTACACAATTCAAACACTTCCAAATATGAATTGAAATGCTGATACAACAATTCACTAGTAGAAACCACTATGTTATACTCGTCCATATATGCTTGTTCAACTTTGGGAGGATATATTATTATATAGCATAGATTAGTGTCTATCTTTCTAACATAAAAATATGTAAAAGGGGATATGGTGGTCACATGTCTTCTTTTTAGCCTCTTCTTTTTGGCCTTTTAATAGCTTTTGCATGTTTTACCATCTTTTCATATATTATTTTCTTTTATTTGTTTTAATATATCAGCTTTATTATTTCAGACAAAAAATCTGATGCTGTTCCCAGATCCACCACTATTAAAAATAAACAAATACTACCGCAGGTTGTTGTTCGTTTTGTCGCCGAGGACGCTGCGGTCGTCGCAGCCGCAGCCGCAGCCGCAGGTTTTGTGTTCGTTTCGATGACGCGACTTCTGCCGCCGACGCTGCCGCTGCCGCTGCCGCAAGTTTTATGTTCGTTTCTTTGACGTTGCGACAATTTTCACTTAATTTTTAGTTTATTTTTATTAATTTGTATAATTATATTATGAATCAAGAAAAATGTAATTTAAATATATTTACATCCATTAGAAATATTTCTTTAGCTAGTAATAATTTTTAGTTTTTTTTTTGGGTAATGAGTACTAATTTTTAGTAAAATATATAAATATAACAATATTATTTTTCTAAATTTGTATAATGATGAATTTTTCATAAATTCCTATTTTTTGTTCCTTTTTTTTCCATTGACATATGGTTGGAAACTAATTGGGTTTTTCCACCAATCTATGAACTATCCATTTTCCAAACATGAAAATTGGAATTCTAAGGAAAAATTCATCATTTCCAATAATAAGTCTCTTTGACATCTACAGATACACACACCAACAAAGGTTCCGGCCAGTTTTTACAGAAGCACAATGAGGGAATGGAGAAGATCTTTCTATATGTATTAAATTATCAAAGCAAAAAAAAAAAAACATGGAATGATTGATGATTAAAGAAAGGTAGACGATGAAGAAGATGAGGGCGTGTTATGCTGTTGCTGCTTCTTTAAAATGTCAGTGATTCTATCCCAATCTTTCTTCTCTCTTGCTTCTCAGTAACCTCCTAGATACCGATAATTCCCTTCTTCATTCTTTTCAAAACATCTCGGTTTCCATCCTTTCTCCTGCAGCCTCCTTGCATGTAACACACAAACGGTACACTCTTCTACATTCAGTCCTCTGCTACTTACCATGCTCATGCACAATTTTGTACCTGTCTCTATAACTGTTCAAGTCTCAGTTTCTTGGCATTTGCTGACTCATATTCACCGTTTTCTAAGTGTCTTTGGTCTGGTCTCAGTCTTGAATCTGGTCTCAAACAAGCGATAAAACTATAAATCATTGTTGACTTGAATTTACAGAAAATAGAACAAAGGGCAAAGAGACCATCCCAGGAAGTGATCAAAACAGACCCTTATATAACAGAGAAACCATAAATGAATATTTAACAGGAAAGGTTCATACAAACTAATCTCCCAAAGTCATGTCTTTCGTCTTTATACCTGAACTTTAGCTATCATATAATGATACAATGTTGGTTTCATAATCTGGTGTTAACGGATCAAATCTCAACACCATAAGTGATTAACTCTACAATCTCCTCATCAAAGGTTCCAGAGATAAACTAAAATGGAACGATAAATTAATTGGATAAAACAGAGCAAGACAAATACAAGAGCTCATTATCTGCTCTTTGACATGCCTCCAGATTTTATATATGACAAATATGGAAATGAGGAGCATGATTGTAAAAAATGGAGTCATTTACTTCGGTGAGACCAAATTTTAAAGCAGAGGAATCAACCTAGTAACTCCTAAACACTACACACACACTTCACCTTAAAACATAGTGAGGAAAACCATCAAACATCTTAAGGACACAATTCAATGAAGTTTAAGATTCAAAGAAGATGAAAACTTGCGGGAAACATACAAAAGCAGAACACAAGAGAGTAAGCTCAAATACCCAAATTTCCTAATGTAAGGCACTATACTTCTGCAAGTTCAAATTCCCAATTCTCAGAATCAATAAGCTCTAATGCCTAAAGTAAGAACTTTTGTTAGAGAAATCACTATGAAAAAACTCACGGAGAAGATGGGTTTAAACCCGATATGAGGGAGACACGAAAAAAGGACTACTTGAAATCGAAGAAACCCATATTACAGAACATTCTCAATACAAAATCCATTGATTCGCAAAAACGTAAGCATGAATCAGAGAAATAGATTGAAATTAGGAGGGATTGAATACAATTTGCAAACGAAATCAAATTTACCTTAGCTCGTCGGGGAACAAGCTCGAAATCGCCGGCGTTAGAGAGCTCCAAATCGTCGGCGTTAGAGAGCTCGAGCTCGAAATCGTTGGCGTCAGAGAGCTCGAAATCGTCGGCGTCAGAGAAGAAGAGAAACGATGAATTTTGTCATTTAGGTTTATTTGTGATTGTTTAACATATGAAGGGTATTTTCGTCATTTGATACATTTATCGCAGCTGTTTAATCGTTTGACGCTGAATTGAAATAGCGTCTGAAATTTTTAGCCGCAACTGCCTGCGTTTGCCGCAGATAACCAAACGAACAGTTTCATCTGCGACGAAACGAACAGCCACGATATGTGATTTATGTCAAACTTGTCAAGTTACAAAAAATTAGACCAGGGAATGATAATAAGAATTCAATATGCATGAGGTAAAGTTGCATCAATCTTGAGTAACTGCACATTGAAGTACCAACAATCGGATAGGTCCTCTCATTGAAGTAACAACAGATCTTTCGCATCAGGCGACTGATATTTGGTTGAAATCTTTGGTGACTAAGAGATCATCATACATGGATACACCCTGTTGGCCGCCATCTGACCTCGATTAGTTAGGGAAGCTTATGAACCATGTTAATAGACAGCTAATAAGTGTGAACCCGCAATGCTGAAACAAGTTTATGCCCTGCAATGTTTGAAGGCCGTGCCGTGAATGTAAACATTTGTCTCCCTCAACAATCGCAAGAGAGAATAATCATAAACAGTTCAATGTCAACTTAACAAGAAAAAGACTTTTACGAAAGCCGCAACCGGTTCTGGTAAACAAAAACACAATTGTACATGACTTGTTATGAAAACGTTTCAAAAGAAGTCCTTCGGCGTATCGATCCATAGGCTTTGAGGAGGACAGAGTTCTACCCATTTATCCCATTCCTTACGCGGATTGTACCTGCTTTCATCAAACGAGTAGGATACACAATGTTTGCGGTTGTAACCAAACCTTGAGAAATAGACATTGTTCCTCATCCATGGGAGATTAATTCTCAACTCAGAGTTATAAAAACTGACAAAGATTGTCAAGCCATCAAGTGTTGTCCTAGTCATTTCCTTCCACTCCAAAGAGAATAGTTTATACACCATTGGCTTCTGGTTGCTGCATGTAAACATGACAAAGAGCTCTCCTTTCTTCTCTACCAAGGCAACTGCTATCTCATTCAACACATAGTGCATTTTATGGATATACGGGCATCTGAGTTTATCCGCACAAATGTAGTTCCATGTGCGGTGAGATGGTTCAAAGTTATACAAAGTTCCTTCTGCGTTAAAGCAATAGAATCGATCTCTGCGATAGACAAGGTTGCTTAGCATGTAAAACGGTTTTATAAAAGTAGGGAAGTCTTGAGTAATCCACTCAGTTGCTCCAGGATGGCAAGTGCTGACAGTGACAAGTTTATCTGCCGGAATCAACTTTATCGCTAGCAACACACAATTATCTGATGTAGGAGGACAAGAGAACGCAATCTGCGAAAAAGCAAGCTCACACTTTGGCAAACTTATGAGATCCCGAGAAAACGGATTGAAAAAGAAAACTTCTTTTGATGTATCTTTACGCATAAGTAACCACCCGTCCTTCGAGTAACACACAGTTGATTCAGCTAACTCTGGCAGATCCAAAGTGTACAACTTCCACTGTAACGGATCGCGGAGTTCAAACAAGTTGCCACGTTTAGGAAAACACATTAGCCAAGGATGCTTATCGACTACCCGAACAGTTCTAGCAGCTTCATACCATGACTTACAAGCCGCGGAAGCTCTTATGTTATCTTTTAAGACAAGATGTGACATTATTGTCTCTATGAGGCTTGAGGGTAGGTCAGCAAAACTCGGGTCCATTGCCTTTTTACACGGCTATTGATATCTACAAAACAATCAACTTCGAATTAGGGCACAATATTATTTCAAGAACTGATCTAACTAACACAATAATTAACCAAAAAAAAACACTCTGTACTTGGGAAACGTTTTAAGAACCACGAAATGTTTCCGATGATACAGGATCTATATATTAATTTCATAGAAATTTCAGATTCAAACTAATTTTCCCCACTATCGATCTTCTCAAATCCGATACAACTGAATATTGTGAATTAAAAAAAAGTGCTTGTGAGTAACAAACCCTCTATATGTAACGGTGGCTGGAGACGTACGGAGAAGGTGACGCCATTTTCAGAGACGGCGAAGGTTGTTGACGGCGGTGGTAGCATATTTCATTTTTAAGCTTTAGGGTTTGTTGTGTTTCATTTGTTTCAATACTCAATGGTGTCGTTTTGGATTTGGGCTATTTAAGTGATCAATTTATAACTGAGATTTGTTAAAAAAAAAAAAAAAGGTGTCAATTTTTTGAATACCATGAGGTTCTGGGCCAAAACCCGTAATCTCTCAAGGCCCGAAACCACAGCATGTAAAGTTTCGTTCTAAGCGTAACTCCGAAGCTTTGTTTTTGGTTTTGTGGAATACTCCGAAGCTTTATTAGTTTCCACTGTTCGTCTTTGGCTTCTTGTCCAAGTCATAGCAAACTAAAGTCTTTAGGTTCAAACTAAATCATAGATATGCTTGCACACCGGTTTCTCCCGAACATATCCAAAATGAGGTTTCAACGGTTTTGCTTAAAAATGTTTGTATGTACATCTTCATTATCTTAAAATTGTCTCAAAACACTATTGTTTGATATTTTTGTAAATCAGGGGAAATTGATTTCCTTCTCGGCACGCGTTACTGGATTTTCTGTTAAAGCAACAAAGTTCAAAGCTTCCTCCGTTTGCTTGTTTAAAATCAACCAAAACATTCAAACCCAATTAAGGAGTCTTTATCAGAAAAATAAAAATAAATCCAAAGAGTTGAAAGAAAATCTGAAAAGATAAAGCAGCTAGAAATATATAGAGCTTCAACCATAACCAAGAGTTGAGTCCAAAGATAATTGAGATGATCTAAAAGCTTGGCCATTGCTTTTTATATCTTCACATGTAGTCTAAAGCTTTCTTCGGTGGCCTAATCCAAAGATTCTCAAGAGGACATAAATCCTCCTGTTCTTGCCACTGCTTACGCGGATAATACCTCTCTTCATCAAACGAATATGATACACAACGCTTGACATTAAAACGAAGCCTCGGGAAGTAAACACTATTCCTCATCCATGGGAGATTAACTCTCATCTCAGAGAAATGAAGACCCGTAAAGATTGTCAAGCCATCAAGCATAGTACTATTGATCTCCTCCCATTTGTCATCTTCTAATTTATACACAATCGGCTTCTCACCACCGCATGTATATATCTTAAAGAACACTCCTTTCCGCACAGCCAATAAAATTCTCTTCTTCTTCCGCTCATACCGGTAACTAAGTCTACCCGAGATATAAGGACATGGCTGATTATACTCATAAATAAAATGCCATTCTCGAGAAGAGGGATCAAAGTAATATAAGCGTCCTTGACCGTCAAGGCAATAGAAGTGACGTTTCGCATAGACAACATTGCTGTGTTTTAGTGTATCGCTGCCAAAATGAAGATGGAAATGTAAATCCTCAGTAACCCACTCGGTTGCTTCGGGATGGCAAGTGCTCGTAGCGGTGATACCATAGGCAACATGCTTAAACGCTAGCAACACGCAAGTACCTGATGTAGGTGCACAAGAGAAAGCGATGGCATCATAAGATAACGCACACTTTGGTAAGTTTATGAGCTTACGAGTAAACGGGTTGAAGAAGAACATTTCGCTTGAAATGGTTTTGCGCATTAGTAACCATCCGTCTCTTGAGTAACAAACCGTAGATTTGGCAAGCTCGGGTAGATTCAATGTGTACAACTTCTGCTGCAATGGATCGTAGAGTTCGAACAAGTTGCCACGTTTAGGTAAGTACATAAGCCAAGGAGGCTTGTCTACCTTCCGAACATATAGACCAGCTTCACGCCATGTTTTGCAGACAGCAGATGCGCGAATGTTATCTTTTAAGTCAAGTTGAGATATTATGACTTCCAAGAGGCATAATGTCAGGTCAGCAAAACTTGGCTTCTCTTCTTCTTTGCTCTGTTTCTTGCTCTCAAGGAAACTGAATCCTTTGACATCTACGTTTGACCTATGAAAGAATTTTGGATCAACAAAACAGTAAACTTTTAAGGGAGGAGTAGTTTGCCACTAATTACATTACGATGCAATAGAGATGAATATAAAATGCATGATTTTAGAATCGTAGAACATTTCACATAATGTGAACCCAAAACTTACACTAAGATTAAAGATTACATAAGTTGTTCAAGAAAATCTTACAAAATTCTACTAATTTTCAATTAAAAGTTTGCTATATAATCGTTAAATCTATTAAAGAAAACGGAAACTTACGAGTAAATCCTCTGTTTTTGGCCGGGCATAGTGATAGACGAAGATGAAGAGAGAAACGATGAAATTGAAGAATCCTCAAACGAGCCGCCATAAAGGAAAATTTGCTACACAAGAAATTTTTGCGACGAAATCGGTGAATGCGGACGTCGGGATTCGTCTTTTCTGCCGGAACAGCTCAGAGTCTCAGCGGTTGACTTAATTTTTTGCAACCGATCTCAGCTTCTTCTGTGGGTTAGGATTTCCCTGCTTTGGGCTTGGGCCTTTTTCTTTTTGTCTTTAATTTATGTATCCATCTGTTGATGGGCCTAAGGCCTGTTTTGTTATATCATCCAAAAAACAAAAAAGCTATAAATATGAAAATGTTATAAACTATATGGATGGACTCCATAACCGGCCCATGGCCCATTAGGGTTTTACCTTATTCTCTGTATCCTGCTATTATCCTTGTATATATATCCCTTATACTATTAATGAAAGACACAGTTCACAACACGTTATCAGCACGATAGCCTCTCACCCTGAAAGTTAAAAATCCCGAAACCCTAAATCTCTCTCACAAAAACCAAAACCATGGTGAAAGAAAAAGAGTACACCTTCAACGAAACCCTAGTCGTTGAGAAAACGGAGACTACCAATCTCTTTGACACGATGACACCGTTCCCTTTTTTTTCCAACAACGTCTCGGATCTCTAATCAAAAATTTCCGATTGAGATAAGTTCTCATGCATGCCTTGATCGATTCATACTTATAATTATATCGTATTAGGTGCTTTAATGATTTTATATTTTCTCGGTTTAGTACAAGTAACATCGATTCATGTTATTGACTTATTGAGATATGCTTTTGTAAATCCATCATTTAACGTTATCATGTTAGATTTAATTATAATACTTTAAGTCTCTCTAGAGAATCGTGACTCCATTCCACTATAATATTTTACCTATATTCTATCATGCTTGATCGACATGTGTTATATTGCTGTTTTGTTGATTCACCCGAGATAATAAACTCATGCTTGTAATTGGTCTGACATTCGTCATATGGTTTTCGTTGGTTTGGTTATTTGGAGACATCGTCAGCGTTTTTGGATCTCTCTACAACATCATCCTCCGATTCATTCTCCGATCTCTCAAATATAGAGATTTTGTAGGAGGTCCCAACCAGCTAAGAGACATAACTGTTTCCAATCTCCGTATCAGATCTCGGGTCTCTGTTTCAGTTCTCCAATTAAGATAAGTGCTATTTATTTATTATGCTTTATATACATGATCCAATTAAAGTTTGATAAGATAAAATTTGCATGAAAATTGGCACATGTGATTTGATTTATGATTGGAGAATTAATTGAGAAGTTAGTGAATGTAAAGATGTTTAATGGCATGATAGATTGAATGTTTTAATATAAACCCTAGGTTAAACCGAAAGTAAACCGAAACCCTAAATCCTAGGTTAAACCGGTTTAATAAACCCTAAGTCACGGTTTAAGATCAAGCTTCCCATAAATGGAAAGTTTCCAGAAATAGAAAGTTTCCAGAAATAGAAAGTTCTATATAAGGAAAGTTTACAGAAATAGAAAGTTTCGTAAAATAGCAAGTTTCCCAAAATGGAAAGTTACCAAAATAGGAAACCCCTTCATAAGGAAATATTCCAAAAACCCTAAAGTACACGTTTGTTTAGGATTTCTTTCTAGATGAGAAATATAAAGTTTCCATAAATGGAAAGTTCCATATAAGGAAAGTTTCCATAAATAGAAAGTTCCATACATAAAACCGAAATCCTAGCAAAAACCCTAGTACTATAAATCGCGGATGCTAAAACCCTAAAACTTAACCGCGAAATCCTAATATCCTAATCTAGTATGATCCGATTGTTTGGTTGTTGCATACTAGATCAATCTTCTAGGGTTGATTTCATCCATATATATATAACATGATTGTTTAGAAAACACTTGCTGAAGACAAGCATGACTCGGTCTTAAATACCGCATGACTTGGCCTAACCGATTACATGAGTTCTCATTTAACTCTATATATTATAGATATCAGAAATCAACTATTATGAATACACGGCACTCAATGCCTCTGGTGACAATTATTTGAAATGGGCTTTGGACACTGAGATTGTCATAAAGGAAAAAGGACTTGGTGAATTTATTGTGGAAGGAAACAATGTCACCAGAAGAGAAAGATATAAGGCGATTACTAACATACGCCATCACCTCAATGAGAGTCTCAAAATCAGTACCTCACTATTAAGAATCCTCTGGACCTCAGGACAGAGTAATCAAAAAAAAAAATCAATATAACCACCAAAGAACGGTGCTATTACCCAAAAGCCCGATTCGATCGAAAGAATCTTAGATTCCAGGAATTCAAATCCATGAATGAGTATAACTCAGCACTATTTAAAATAGTGTCAATACTGAGATTCCGTGGTAAGGAAGTTACTGAGAATGACTTGCTAGAGAAAGCATTCTCGACCTTTCACACAAACAATATATTGCCTCAGCAACAATATCGTGAAAAAGGTTTTTACCACATATGCAAGTCTAAACTCTTGTTTTTGGGGAGGACTCCTCTGTAGAGAGTGAGTGAGGCTTTGGAGAAACCGTGATGAGAACATTGATTCTGATATGCTACTTGCTGAGCAAAACAATGAGTTATAAATAGTGAAATGAGACCTCCTGGTCCTACCCCATTATCAGAAGCCCGTTGGGCTGAAGAGCCTAAAGAGACTAAAGAGACTAAAGAGTCTAACCACGTCCAAAGAGATAAGTATCATGGCCACAGTCATGGTAAATGGAATGAACGTGGTAGAAGTGGAAATTATAATTTATATTATGATCAAGGAAACCATTCATATGGTTAAGGCCGCCGACCCGACTTTGGTCGTAATCGAGGTAGAGGCCGCGGTATACCTAAACCACAACACTCAAATAAACTTGTTTGCCACTGATAAGGAATGGGAAAACCATTGGACTAAGACGTGCAAGACACCTAAGCATCTCGTTGATCTCTATCAAGAGAGTTTGAAAAGAATCTAGAAGCTCATTTAGTTCATCACGATGGTGAAGAAGATTTCGACCATGAGATAGATGACTATGAGAATTTAATAAACGAAATATCTAAAGACATGGTTCATTAGCCAAATTGCGACTATAGCTAAATTTAGTGAAGGCTAAGGGCAGGCCCATGACAGGCCCATATTCCCAAGGGCACGCATCCTCAGATGCTTCATATTCACCCAGCTCAAAGGGGCTTGTTGAGTTTCAAAGAAATGTGTTTGAATGGTTTCCACATTGAAACTAAGGGTGAAGGGAACAAAGGATTCCCATATATTACTAAGAACACCCAAGACCATGAGAAGGTCTTAGAGACTATACCCGCGTCATAGATCTTTACTATGCCAAGGTAAATATGATAAGGGCTAATAAAGTAAACAAAAGGGTTTACTGAGAGATTCACTAATGGCATGACCGGCTTGGCCAGCCCGGTTCGAATATGATGCGTAAATTAATTCAAAGTTCTAAAGGGCACACCCTTAAAGAAAACTGAGTTTTTCCCTAAGCACCACACGTGCATAGCCTGTTCACAAGGGAAGCTTATCACTCGACCTTCACCAGTCAAAGTGTCTAAAGAGACCTTACATTTTCTGGAACGAATTCAAGGAGACATATGTGGTCCGATCCATCCACCTTGTGGAACATTTTGGTACTTCATGGTTTTAATCGATGTATCGACCCGCTGGTCGCATGTTTGCCTATTGTCTTCTAGGAACCAAGCGTTTGTTAGGTTATTGGCCCAAATCATCAGATTACGAGCCCATTTTCCAGATTTTCCTCTTAAGACCATACGTTTAGATAATGCTGGTGAATTCACTTCCCAAGCATTTAATGACTATTATATGGCCATGGGGTAAGTGTGGAACATCCTGTGGCACATGTCCATACACAGAACGGATTAGCTGAATCCCTCATTAAACAAATTCAACTAATTGCTCGACCATTACTCATGAGGTCGCAGCTTCCGGTCTCAGCTTGGGGACATGCAGTTTTACACGCTGCTGAACTAATACGCATTCGGCCATCTAATGAGCATAGATATTCCCCATCCCAATTGCTAACGGGTCATGAGCCAGACGTTTCCCATCTAAAGACATTTGGGTGTGTCACCTATTTACCCATAGCACCACCACAGAGAGCAAATGATGGGACCTCAAAAGGAGATGGGAATATACGTTAAAAATGATTCTCCCACCATCATTAAGTATCTCGAGCCAAAGGCCAGATACAAGGATTGTCATCTCAATGAATCCGTTTTCCCAACACTGGGTGGAGAGACTAACAAGCTGGTCAAAGAACTTACATGGAATCAAACATCCTTCACATGGCAAGATCCTCGGACTCCATCAGAGATCCAAAAGACTATATATCTGCAAAAGCTAGCTAAAACAGTTGCCAAGATTCCTATAATGACCCAAAGAGAGTAACAAAATCGTATATACCAGCTTGTAATGCACCAGTACGTATTGATATTCACAAGGAACACAATCAAGTTCCTACAGAGGCTACAACACGTAAGAAACGTGGTAGACCCAAAAGGTTCCAAAGACAAGAACCCTCGGAAATCAAAGAAAGGTGCAAGGGAAACCGAGAAGGTTCAAGAAACCATAGACATGGCCGGCTAATAGACATAACCCTAAGGTACCAATCAATGAGGTTTGGGACGCCAAACCTCAAGGTCCTGAAAGTATAAAGAGATCTCTATAAACTATATCATGTCTAGAATACAATGGAACCGAAAAGATATCGACATCAATGATAAAATATTTGCGCACAAGGTAGCAACTAAAATGAATGAGGATCAGGAGCCCACGTCTATACTAGAGTGCACTCAAAGACCTGATTGATTAAAATGGTACAAGACTATAAAACGTGGAGCTAATAATTATCAAGAAGAAGAATGTGTTTGGTCCAATACGAAGGACACCATTCAATGTAAAGCCAGTAGGACAAATGAGTCTTTGTGATTATGTGAAATAAACATAGTGAAAGCGTGATATATCAGACACGGCTTGTCGCACAAGGATTCACACAAAGACCAGAAATAGAGGAGATATACTCCCCTGTGGTGGATGCTAAGACATTTAAATCTTTGCTAAGTCTGGCTATATAAGAGAGAAAGATTTGCGGCTAATGGATGTAATGCCTGCATATTTATATATGTCCACTGGATAATATATGAGATTACCAGAGGGTATTGAGCTCAAAGATA